AGGTAAGGCTCTGCTCCCTGCACCCATCATCAGTCCCACAAAGCAGGCTGAGCTCGGGTTCCTGACCTAGCTAGCCAGAGTGGGCCAGAGAAAGACCAGCTTAATGGAGAAAAGATGGCAATCCAGCCTCTAATTACTCCCTGAAATGACATTTAAAAACCCCAAACAAACAAAAATGGGACTGGTTAATTGCATGCTTCTTGCCTAAGCAGTCTTATAGGCTGGGTCTTCTTGCTGTGTGAAAGGAAGACTCAGTCTCAAGAACAACAATTTCTTAGAGTCATGTGACATATTTTTCTGTTGATGATCTTGACCTTCACTCAGATAATGAAATTGCTAGCCAGCTTGAGAGGCTGAAGAGTTATCAGAGCACTGTCAGGGTTGGATTCTACATAAAGTGAGCTCACTTCTCCATCAGGGATGAAGAGCCTAGCCTGTCTGAGTTGGGGTGCGGTTAGGTGGGCTACATGAACTTTTAGAAGATTCCCTGGCAAGGTTGGACCTATGAAACTGGATTTAAAACATAGGCTGTTATCCACTATCTGTTCCAAGATTAGAAGTTATTTCTGGCTTTAGTCTGTCTTTTTGCATTATTATACCAGTCATGGTTTTTTTCTTTTACCACAAATACTCAAGAAATGGTTGTGTTCCTAACTATAGACAAGCGCCCTGCCACAACTGCCCTTTCTGATGAAAAACCCCTCCCTCTCCCCCTTGTACTTTCTGTTTCTATCTCTCTGGGGACTCCTGGGAGCTCAGCTCGGAGGACAGATATACTAGTGTGAGGGACAGTGTTGGCTGGGAGCTAGGGACTGAGATGGAGGCTCGGTGTTGTCTCCCCCGCAGTTTACTATGGGAGGCAGGAGTGGGACCACTTGTCCTCAAACATCTGTTATCAGACATTTCTGGGGCCATCATATAGTTTCAGAATTATATATATAAAATAATAATTCGATCTTCTGTAGCATTGACCAGTTATAATGAAAAAGGTAGGGAAGCATGCATGGAACATTGAGAGCCAACTGAGCATGTCTTCAGAGTATAGGTTCCCTTTACTGTTATTGTTGGACAGGGAGGGGCCCTGGTGCTGGGTGCCTGAGGCAGTGAGGATGGAGGGGGAAAGGGGCACCTTTACCACTGATTGTGATATGCCAGGGTTGGGAGGTCACTGTGCAGTCAGTCTCAGGAGTGGACGGGCCTTCAGGCTGTGCCCTCTTAGTGAGCTTCCCTAACTCCTGTGCAGCACCCCTCCTGACTGGAGTATTGATTGAGTCATCAGAGGCGACACCTCAGCCCCAGGAGAGATGTGCACTGCTGGCCCCAGCTGGGAAACCTTATGGGGCCTGCTGAGACCGAAGAAGCAAATGAATCAGTTGCCTCCTCCTGCCACCTGGAGCTGTCCACTTACATAGATCATCCTTGAGCACAGGAGAGTATGGGAGGCAGACTGTGATTGAGACAGAGCGGGGCACAGCCTCCAAGGCACAAAAGAAGGGGCGTTACTATTCCAGTGAACTCTCCATGACTCGTGAAGATTATCCAAGCCATGGTACACAGCTTCCTCAGCGTCCTCTTTGCCTGCCTGCTGTTTTTATGTCTGTTGTACTAGGATGGGCCCTGGGGAGCTTCCAAGAGCTTCAAGGAAGGCAGGTGAAAGGCTTCCCCAAGAGGAGGGCAGCACTCCAGGCTATCAGGGAGCTGTGCTTTATCAGACTTTTCTGCAGCCACCATGACTCTAAACTAAAGTTAAGAAAAAGTGTAATAAAATTACTCTTGTGGCTATTCTATATCATGCTCTGAAAAACGAGAGCCTTTCTAGAATTAGCCCCATCGAGTCTTCTCATTGTTAGCATTGTGTAAAAGCAAGCAGACACATAATGATGTGGATGCAGTGGGGACTTGGATTTTCCTCAAGAACTGAATTTCCCAGGATGACTGACTCCATGGTGCTTTTCAGGATATGTGACAATGACTTCTGGAGCATGACTTAATTCTCCCCATCATGTCATCCATTCACTCACTCCCTTGCCATGTTTCTACACTGAGACAGATGCAAGGAAGTCTGTGGAAAGACAAGGGCTACCAAACCTGATAACAGGTCTCAGTTGCTTATCTGACACCCAAATAACCATTCACGCCTCACAAGTGTCTAAGAAGAAGGATGCTGAACATACACACTTGAGGCTTGGAGTGAAGGACACGCTCTTTGGTCTCCTGACTCCCTGCCACTCATGAGCCTGTCCTAGTTTCCAGAGTCAGACTGGACAAGGAATTTCCCTATTCCATACTCCCACAGTGTGATATACGTGTGTGTATAACTGCAGTAACATTTTCACCTTTGCATCTCATTATCATTTTTAAATTTTGCGTGTCTCATCTATTTTAGTAACTCCATTTGCACCCAAGAACAGAAACCGCAGATTCTTTATTTCTGTGTCCCTTACAGTTCTTGGTTGTGTTTGTCATGAAGCTGAACTTTTCTTTATACTTGCTGAAATTGTCATTTGGAGACCCCTAGTCTCTGCTTCTGTGAAGTGAATACCATTTAAATTTCCCCCACAATCCATCCGGTGATTGCTCTTTTGGTGGGTAACTGATCCTGCCTGTGGGAATGGTGGTGTCAAAACCTTGAAGTTCCAGGTATGTATAGCCCATGCAGAGAATTCAGGAACATAACCTTAGTGCTCATGGAGTATCATTTATTCAGCAAGTTTGGGCCTTATCATTTATCATTTCTTATCATTTATTCAGCAAACTTGGGCCTCCTCTCTGTCCAGTGTTTTCCTAGATGCCTAGTTAGTTAGAATGGCATGAGACATACATTTTGACATATAAAGAACAGGTCTACCAAAGCATACAAACCAGGAAGCAGGGCAATAAAGCATTAATGAAATAATTATAACCAAAGATTTATGAAGGCAGAGTTGGTGTCCCAAAGGAGGAGAGAACTGATGGAACCATATAGTGTGGTTCCAAGACTCCTAAGCACATTTGGAATTCAGAGATGTTTGTTTAGTTACCCTGTGGGAAACTTATAACTAAGCATCAATGGATGAGGCAGTACAGCATTGTGAATAAGAGCGTGGGTTCTGGAGTTAGTCCACCTTCAGATCTGTTCTGGCCTGTCTTGTTTGTGTGACCTTTGGCAAGTCACTTTTCACCTCGTGGTGCTTGTTCTTTCACCTCTAGAATAGGAACAATACTACTACCTGTCTCTTTGGCCAGAATTGAAATACAAGCACAGCCCTTAGCACAGTGCCTGCTGAGCACACAGTAAACCTCAACCATGTCCTTTTTGAGTGGTTCTCAGGCGCCCCCTGGTGCTTGTGCTGTTGGGAACAGCCTGATTCTGTCCCTACAAAACAACTGCTTCAGCATGGGCTGGGTTTCATGTCATTTAGTGATCAGATCTCAAGCTGTCAAGCACCTAAAAGAGCATGCAACCTAATCTACTGTATAGTCAAGGAAATTGAGACCTAAAGATGTGAAGTAACTAAGCTATAACCACAGTGCTAGTTAATGGCAACTCCTAGACTAGGTGTCCTACAAAAAAGCCAGGCAGACAGCAATGGAGAATAGAAAGAGACACAGGAAGTTCACATGCACACCAACACCAAGGGCGAAAAGACAGATAGACATAGCCTCCTCTGAACAGGGAGGAGAGAAAGACAGACCAACAGAGGAGGGTGAAGAAGAAGAAAGGGAGAGAGACTCGAAGGCAGAAGTCAGAGAAACAGACATAACCAGAGAAAGAGCAACTGGAAGGTATGGGCAAAGATAAAGAGACAGGGACTACTACCTGAGGGGTGGGGGTAGTAGAGAGTGAGCCAGACTGTGCCTACTGTCTGATGTCTACCCGCTGCCACTTTTGGGGGTGGCAAAGGAACCCTCTAAAGCCCAAATCAAAGTAGAGCAGAAGGATGTAAACCAGAGAGAGGCACCAATAAAAAAGAGGTTCCAGAGTTCTGATGGTGCCACTGGAGACTACGACACCTGTGAGGTAAATTGCAGTACTCTGCCAGGCTGACCCACATGGAAGGGTTCCAGGTTCGCACCTGGAGAGATCCCTGAGCATGCCAGGCATGCACATGTCCACGATCTGGAGCAGGCTGACCCTGTTGGGGAGTCTCTCACTCATTGAAAACAAATATATAAACAAGCAAGAAAACTATTTTAAGAAAAGAGAGCTGTTCCATTATTTAATCCCTGTGGCCAGAAATGGTCATGACCATGTTTCTGTTACCTTTTCCTTGTGTCTCAACAGGTGTACTCTCAGCATTCTCTTCTCTGCTGGGGGTGATGGAAATAAATCTTAAGGTTAAAACTGAAATTTGTATTCATTAAGCTGAAGAAAGGTATGAATGGAGCATTCCTTCCATGCCACAGGGGAATATAATTTTCAGTTCTATCAGTTTTCTGACTTTGTGTAGGATGGTACTGCACAATAGTTTAAAAAAAAAAAGCATAAAACAAAAAACACTTTATAACAGCATCTTCACTTTCTATCTCTTATTCTCCTCTCACTCCTTTGGCTCCCCATGTCTGTAGAGGGTCTCATTCCAAGCCCTCGTAGTGGGAAGAACAAAGAGTAATTGGATCTCTTTCTGGGAGAGACAAATTCCATTCTTATTTTTCTTAGCTTTCAGAGTGCTCCTTGCAGGCTACTTTTTTCCTGCTTACCTTTCTTCTTCCATGCCTTTTTTGTTTTAGAGTACCTATTGCATGCAAGGCCCTGTGCTCAGGGTGTGAGGTCTCAGCCTATAGAGTAGACATGCACACCTAAGGATTTTT